AGGACCTACAAAATTCCTAGAGAGAATATATTTTGTTGGATTGGTGTAGGTAAAATCATAGGTACCTGTCCCATGGGTATGAGCATCATACTGTAAAAATGACACATTATATAAAAGTCTACATTAAAATGTAAGTAAATTATCAACAAAAATAAAAGGATGACTATTAAGAAGCAAAATGAGTCCAGACAATAGAACATGTTAAAAGTCCCTTCCTTGTGAAGAACAGACTTCACAAAAATACAAATGTGTAAAAATAAAATATAATAACATGATTTTTTAAAAAAGACATGTTTTGTTATAAGCATTACTAAACATCTATCTAAATAGAAAATGATTGTCTGCTTGTGGAAAGAAAAATTGGGAGTCCAAGTAGAGAGTTCTAAAACCTGGGAACAACCCCCAGGAAAGTCCCTTTGTCTGCAATTGATGTGCCTCTCCCCGTAAAAAACTCTCAATGACCACATTAAAACAAGAAAATACAATCTTTCTGATAGTCTGGATAGCTATAGATATAAATGGCTTTTCACCACAATGCCCTCTAGTGGATCCTGTCTTTGTTGCTGTGTGTCTTCAAGTCATTTCTGATTAATGGTGACCCAAAGGCAACTCTATCACAGGTTTGTGGGGTTTTCCCCCCTTTTTTCTTTCTTTCTCTTTCTTTCTTTCTTTCTTTCTTTCTTTCTTTCTTTCTTTCTTTCTTTCTTTTTTTTTGGCATGCTTTGTTCAAAAGCAGTCTGCCTTTGCAGGGGCTGAGAGCATGACTTCTTCCAAATCACCAAGAGCAGGGATTAATCTTTTCTTAACCATGATCTTTAACTGCTGCACCCTACTAAAGCATCTGCTGTCTCAAAGTCTAGAATGCAACTGAATCCTGGACCTGTAGTTTTGTGAGAGTTTTAGCATTCTCTGCTAGAGATCTCTAGTGCCCGCAATTTCAGATCCCAGGAATTCCATATAATATAGCCATGTCAATTAAAATGGAACCAGAGTTCTATAATTATGCAAGATTAAAGAACCAAACATTTCCTGATGATACTGTTTTCTTTTCTTTTTTGGTTCAGGAGTGAATACTTTTTTCCTGAACTTTGAAGCCTCTTGAATTTGCAAAACAAGTTAACAGTTATGACAAAGCCATAAATAATTATAAAACAGCAAGGGATAACAACATTCTTTTTGGAGCATATGTTATTTTTACAGGCTGGTCCCACTAAAGTGTGTAAGTTCGGGTTGCTGTGCTTTGTATTTCTACCTCAGTCTTTGTTTAACATGCTGATGGACCAATATGGATTAAAATAAAGTGTCTTTCCAAAAAAACAGTGGTCTGTATCAATCATTTTTAAAAGGCAACTAAACATAATTATCACAATTACTACGAGCAGAGAAACAAACGGAAGAGTTTGGTGCCTTTCATTCCTAGACTCCTTCCCCTAGTATTCACTGTTATAACAGTTACTATTATTGTATGTTTTCTAAGAAAATATTACTATAATAGCAACTGTACTGGGGCCCAAGAATATAACGGTAATTCCATACTTTCTCAAAAGTAACTTTTCAAATTTTCTTTTCACCTTGGTCTGGAGACCACTTAGCGCAAAAATAAAGTCTACAATTTCCCTCTACCTCTATAAAACTGTCATTTATTTCAGGTCACCTTTAACTGCAATTATCTAACCTTTTCTCGCTGCTTCAGACCAATTTCAAGTGACAGGTTTAATGTCGAGTGGCTCAGAGCATTCTTCGATCATGTGGATGTTCTCTCAGCCATTCACCGCAACAGCGATTGACACAGGAAACATGACATCAGATGAGATGTCTGAGGTTACATTTAGAAAATGATGGAACAAAAAAGTGCACAAACTAGGGCTCAGGGCAGAACGGAAAGCAGTTGGGGGAATGGGGAGGGGGATGCAGATCCAGGTCAAGGAGCAAAGGAACGAAGTAATCACTCTAAACTTTTGTCATCACCAAGAGAAAAAAATACTAAAATGTTCCAGTCACTCAACAACTGTCCTGGAATAATAATAAGAGATGTTGCTTTTTGACCCTCGAGAAAAAGTTGGCTTATCCTAAAGGTTTGCGCTAATCTTTCTACTGAATTAATAAGCAACTGCAAAGAATCAGTTCAAATGTGTCTACTCATCCCAAGGAAAACCAAGTAGCTCCTTCAGGACACCAGTATCACCCTCAAGCAAAATGTCCCAAGTAATTAATACGTATAGCAGAGAAAACTTTCTTCTCTGCATGGACAGCATCCGCTGAGCTCCAGAGTGGTGAGAGGTTTATTCAGGGGCCCTCCCATCTGAACCCATTGTTAGAACCTTGGAAGTGAAGTGAAGTGAAGAACCTTCAGTAACTTGCCGTGATGCCTTTAATAACCATTTCACATATAAAATAGCTCACATAAGAGCCAAATTAGACGCTGTCACTGGAGCAGAAGCCAACAAAGCAACTCTGTGAGTAGGGTTACATTACATCAGTTTCAATTGGTGAATAATGTTGATGTGGACAAGCTGCTGTAATGAGGGCAACCTACTTGTTTTATCCCTTCCCCGCTAGCTGGTCGTCCAGGGAAGAGATGCAATTCGATCTCAAACACAATAAATTATTATTGCATCTCTCAGGGAGGGAAATTTTCCATTTTGTTTAAAAGAAGCAGTAGTTAGACCACTGCTGAAAAAGCCCTCCCAGGATCTCCTGGACCTTAATGATTACATACCAGTGTCTATCCTTCCTTTTTTGGGCAAGGTGATTCCCTCCAACTCCAGGCAGTATTGGATAACACACACTTCCTTGACCCATTTCAAACCAGTATCAGAGCAGAATATGGAGTAGAGACTGCTTTGGTCGCCTCTGTGGACAATCTCCATTTTAATACTAACAAGGGGAGTGCCCTCTAAGTGCCCTTTTGATCTCTAAGCGGCTTGTGATATCACTGACCATGGAATACCTGGGGGATTTGGGAATTGGAGTCACTGTGTTACAGATCTTCCTTCTTACCTCTCAGACAGGTTCCAGATGGTGGTGCTTGGAGATAGCTTCTCCTCCAAAAAAGAGCTGCTATATGGTATCCCACAAGATGCCTTGCTATCCCCAATGCTCTTTAATATTTACATGAAACCGCTGGGAGAGACAATCCCGAGATATGGGGCAGTGAGTTATCACTATGCTGATGACAATCAAATGTACTTCTCCACGATGACAAGAGTGTGTCATCTGAATGAATTCCTGCTGGATGTAATGGGCTGGATGAATAAAACCAAATTGAAACGGAATCCGGAAAAAAAGAGGTGCTTGCCATCAAGGGTCCTAATCTAGGGATGAAGGTGTGTTAACCAGTCCTGGATTCCCCCTGAAAGACAATGTCTGCAGCTTGGGAGTGCTCCTGGGTCCATCTCTCCAAATGTCAGCCCAGATAGATGTGACAGTCAGGAGTGCTTACTACCAGCTTCAGTTGATATGCCAGCTGTGCCCCTTCCTGGATTTGGAGGACCTTAAGATGGCAGCGCATGTGCTGGTAACCTTAAAGTTGGATTTCTGCAATGCACTTTACATTGGGCTATCTTTGTACCAAGCTTGGAAACCCAAGCCAGTTCAAAGGATGGCAGGTTCACCTTCCCTGTACAATTCTCCCTGCACATTTAGGTTCCCTGCGGGGCAGCTACTCCAACCAGCCTGAATTCGACTGGTGACCATAACCCAGAGAACCTTTTCATCAGCCTTCCCATGACTGTGGAACATCCTGCTGGAAAAGCTCCAACAGCTAAATGAGCTATTGGAATTTAAACCCCATCTAAAGACCTATGTCTTCCAGCCGAGCTACCCAGTCAGTTTTTAGAATGAATTTTAAACTCCTGTCCTTTGTTTTAATCTCTGTTCTGTGTATTTAATATGTATTTTATAGAAATACATTTTAATATGAATTGTTTATAGAACTATATTTTAATATGTGTGTTTATAGAAAATTTGCAGTGTTTGTGTGTTTTGACCGTGCTGTGATTTATAGTTCAAAATGGGAAAGTCAGCACAATGTTGTGGTCTGTGTGCTGTACTTAAAACTCCAAAAGATCAGGAATCCCCTGTTTAGCCACGGAACCTCATTGAGTGTCCTTGGGTGTCTCTCTCTCAGTCTTAGAGGCAGGCAAAGGCAACACTTCCTTCTGAACAAATCTTGCCATGGAATCCCCTTGATCGGTTGATAGGTTCACCTTAGGGTTGTCATATGAGGGACACAACTCAACTACAGTTCAAAAAGTCAAATCTGGAGGATAGTCCCAGATGCTGCAGTTATTAATCCACGATAACAATTTAAAATAGTTCTCTTGAATTAAAGTTAAATCAGTTTACACCAAAATCTGGCATCAGGTGAGTTAAGTCATGTTTCAACACTATGTGAATAAGTTGCAGTAATTCCCCGAATTGTGGATTTTCCCTTCTTACTTTCTGGAAGATCCAAATTTTCTAGTTTTAAGATAACTCAAGTTTATAATAATAACAGTAATAATAATAATAATAATAATAATAATAATAATAATAATAATAATAAACAACTTTATTTGTATTCTGCCCTATCTCCCCAAGGGGACTCAAGGCAGATTCCAACAAAAAATGGCAAACATTCAATGTCATAATACAGTCATCATAACAAATGAAAGTAACACATCAACCAGTTCCCAAAGTAAGCCAATATTAACCAACATCACAAAATCCTACCATTAAAACCTTTATCTATGATTTGGGTCATAAACCACGTATTGTTAGAATGTTTCGTAGACCCCTGTTCAATTTACACTGAAGTGGACGTTGGATTTTACAGGAAGAAAATATAATTTATGTCCAGGGAGCAGCAAATGTGGGGCCTACCAGAGGTTGCTGGGATACAACTCTCCTCAATTATAATATAAATGAAGAAATACATTTGCTACAAAAGATTAACAGAATGAATATGTCTATTTCCTTCCTCATATATTTATTTATACATGCACTGCATATATACTTACCTGGTGATGGTGAATGTTCTTTACATGGCAAGAAAAATTCTTGTAGAGGTGAAATTTGTTGACATCTTTTTCATTGGCTTTTTGGGAGGTCCCTTTGGCCAAGGCCGACTGAAGGCAAACGTATTGTCTTTGGCACCTACATTAGTTTGATTTTAAAAGGTTTTTGACAAATGAATAGAATTTCTCAGATTTGTGAACAATAACAGTCAATTCTACATTGTAGATGTCACCTTTTTACATCCACTCACAAATATTTAATTGTTTTTTTAATTTCTCTTATTTTAAATTTTCATTAGGTTGTTTTATAAGATTGTTAGCCACAGTGAGTCCCTATGAGTAATAAGGTGGGATAAAAATAAACATAATAATAATAATAATAATAATAATAATAATAATAATAATAATAATAATAATAATAATAGAAGCAATAGCAGGAGCAAACAACAACAGCAGCTGCAGCAGCAGTAGCAGCAGGAGCAACCACTGATTTAATAGGGCAGCTGAAATGATTCTGTTTCCGTTATCTGTGCCTAGTAATCCTAACCATTATGAAAAGGGAGGCCAGATAATTCACAGATACTACAAAATATGAATTCATTGACCTATAATAGCCCACTTATCACAAAGATACTTACAAATCTCTGATAAAATCCAATGTCTCTCTATCTTTAGCAATCATGTCAGCCAAGATGTGCTGTACTCCCGATTTAACTTCCTCAATGGTGGAAAGTCCTAAAAGAAAACATCTGAAACTTACCATTTTCATTTAATTTTATTTCCAATATGTATATCCAGCAAACATGACCCAATGAAGTTCATAAGACAGCCTACAAAAACAAGGCCGAGTAAAGGTGAATATTTTCCTTTATATTTTGCAAACTAGGGATATAGTATTTCCAGGATAGGAATCAAATCCCAATTTGGGAATAATCATAGGATTGTATATCTGCAAGGAAAAGGAATAAGGCAACAAGGTGGAACCAAGGACAGATTACATTAGACCAAAGCAAGGTACAATTTTTCTCTTTTTTTTTCTGCCAACAATCAAGCCTGCAAAAAAAATAGTTTGCACTGTAGCCATAATTGCCTAATCTAGCATTGAGTTATGGCAGTTGAAGTGTGTCATTAATTCTGCAGTATATAAGGCCTGTGGGCATGATAAAGCCCTCTGACGTTATTTACCCAGCCCCCATCCTAAATTTAAAACTTAGGGTTGCCCTGAGCTTGAAATTACTTGAAGGTACCCAACAACAATCCTAATTAATTTAACTATCTCATCAGCTGAAAGCCGTTTATGTTGGTTAAAATTGTTAAAATTGTTCTTCATTTTAAATATTTCATTGTTCATTTATGAGGGTTTTTTTCAGTACAAATAAGATATGCGCAGTGTGCATTTGTGTTTTTTCCATACCATAGTCTGACCCCCCCATCAGTCTGGGAGACCATGAACTGGCCCTCGGCTTAAAATGTTTTGAAGACCCCTGCTGTAGATGTACCTTTGGTGGTTATGACTTGTTGGTGGTGGCACATAAGACTCTGAAACTCCTCCCCTTGAAATTCTTTGGTCCTTTCCCTCCCAGATTTCAGAATGATAGTTATACCTGGTGTGTTTAGTCCTCAAACTAAGGCCCGAGGGCCGGATGCAGCCCTCCAAGGTCATTTACCCGGCCCTCGCTCAGAGTCAACCTAAGTCTGAAATGACTTGAAAGCACACAACAACAACATCAACAACAACAACAACAACAATCCAATCTCATCAGCCAAAAGCAGGCCCACACTTCCCACTGAAATGCTAATAAGTTTATATTTGTTAAAATTGTTCTTCATTTTAATTATTGTATTGTTTTTAAGTGTTTTTGCACTACAAATAAGATATGTGCAGTGTGCATAGGAATTCATGTTTTTTCAAATTATAATCCGGCCCCCAACAGTTTGAGGGACTGTGACCAGGCCCTTTGTTTAAAAAGTTTGAAGACCCCTGGTTTAGACAATGCACAGGCAACATTTGCATTAATGGGAGCCCGATTTTCAACCTCAGAACGCATTGCAGGCTACTCCAGTTCTCAAAGTAGCAAAACCAAACTAATAAAACAATAAAAATATAAAGAATTATGTCTAATGTTCACAAGGACTAAGTTGAAAATAACTACTGGTATTTGTTTCCAAACTCTGCCAAGATTTTCCACATCTGATATAACAACCTAAAGGCAGCATCTTTCTAACAGGTGGCATTCAATGCTGCATGAAGTCTCACCTCCTACTTCAGCACCTTCCAATTCCGGAAAAGACTTTCCTGAACAGTAAATGAGATTTCTACTATTCCATTGGAAATGGTCCTGGACGTTAAGCAGAAGAATGCAGTGTGGAATTGAAGAAAAGGGAGTAGGTTATACTAGAAAAACTAGCAGCACTCGAGAGGCCATGATGAAGAACATGAATGGACTTCAAAAGAGGAGCATGATCACCCACTGAATTTTAAAATGCCTGTTTGGAAATGCTTGTTTCATACTCCATTATGAAAAACTGCAAAAGTACTCAAAAGCAGCACTACAGAACCAGGAGGGAGGTGGATCTGGATTGCAATGTCCATCACTCTTCTCCAACTATGCCAACTAGAGCTGACAAGACCACACTGTGTGGAAGGTCACATTGTTCCAACTCCTGCTTTAAAAAGGCCTCTCGAATGGAAAAAACAACTTCATAAGATGTTAAAGAGCTGCATTTCAGCTGATCTGCATTCTGGATACTACGGTATTGTATTATGAATAGACCAATTTGCAATACAAGGCAATATTCAGGAGGAATAAGAACCTTTCCAATTACAAGGACCATGGATGTGCCCCTAACACTTAGGAGTCATTTAACCATCCAGTCATTCTTCCGTCAGTGTTGAGTTGGGATCCTTTATTTTCACTTTTCTTTCCCAGACACTATTTGTCTAAAAAACACAATGTTTTCTTTTCTCTCAAAAAATACTGCTTGATGATAGCAGTTTTTTAAAGTCTCTCTCTAAGCTGAGCCACAAAAATAGCATTAAACCATTTTTCCTTAACAATATAAAAATCTGCACATTTTACTGTCTAACATTGCCCCCTACAGATTTTTCTATAATTGCACTATGAAATCACACTACTATATATATAAATTCTGTAACATTGTGTAGTCGAGAACAGGGTTTGATTCCCGGTCCTGCCATATTATTTGTTTATTTTTTACTATATTTATATCTCACCTTTCTCTACCCCAAAGGGGACTCAAGGTGGCTTACAGATAGGCAACAATTCAATGCCTTAACAACAATATACAATTAAAATAAACATTCAAACTGAAATTAAAATCAAAATTAAAAGACATTAAAATGTTTTAAAATATTACAATCACTATAATACCATGCTATCCGCAATCATATAAACTGAATGGTTGACCTTGGGAGAGTTACACACTCTCAGTCCTTGTGGTGAGATTACTATAAATCACAAGTGGCTTGAAAGTACATAGGAACAACAATAAATATTGAGCTTCAACAAAATAAAAAGCCCATGTACTATATTTCAATAGTCATCTGTGAAAGGATCTATGTTTTTATTGGTGTTATCATTTAGTGAAGTTTTATCTATGTTTAAATGTTTTAACTGTTTTATATTATTGTGGGCATTGAATTGTGCCGTCCTATAAACCACCATGAGTTGTAAATAAATAAACAGAACATAATTATTGCCTTATGTTGAATATCAATGTGGTGTAGCAGTTGCACAGGGCTCCCAAGTTGGAGTCAAATCTGGTTTATTGTTCCTAAAACTCGCTAAGTGATTCTGGGCCAATCATTCACTTTCAGCACGATCTACTTTATAGCATCACTGTGATGATACAGCAGTGAGGAAAAAGCAATATATGCCACCCTGAACTCAATGATGAAAAAGCAGAAGGTAAAAAAAGAGGAATAAGAAAGATGATGAACAACCTGCTGTCAATTTCAGGATATCTGCAGATGTATTTATTTAGTAATTTATTTGTAGTATTTCTATACTGCCTTTCTCAACCCCGAAGGGGACTCAGGGCAACAATGTTGGCAACAATTCAATGCCATTAATAAAAACAGTATACAACATTAAAATTGACCCTCCCCTAATAAAACATTAACCATTATTAAACACATCACATAAAATAACATCACCTATCACACAGAGACATAGCCGTTATCGTAAACAGTCCTGGGTCATTGCACTTTCAGCTTCCACTTTAACTATAAATATTCCTATGATGGGCTGAACGCTTGGTTCCACACCAGGTCTTTACCTGTCTCCTAAAGGTCAGGAGGGAGAGGGCCGACCTGATTCACTCAGGAGGGAGTTCCACAGTCATGGGACTACCACCGAGAAGGTCCTGTCTCCACTGCAAACTGCAAAGTTTAGCAAGGCTGTCTTGGCTTGTAGAGACCCCCCACTCCCACCCCATCTTACTGGGAACAATTGAAGCGTTAACCGTAAATTGGCTCAAGCCTCGACTTTCTCTACAACACTTAAACCCATAGTCCCATTTAGCCACTTGTATGCCAACTTAATAAGCCAGTCTTTTTGCTACACATAACACAATGTTCACAGTCGCAACAAGCAAAATTGGAACACTGAATGTAGAGCACCAAATTCAAAGTGACCTCACTGGGTAGAGAATTCTGAGAGTTATGACTTTTCCCAAATTTGGAAAAAGTTTTATTTTCCAAGCTCTAAATGTTCCAGTTGAAATCAACAGGACTTAGAGGCAAAGTGTAAAGGTTGTGTATGGAGGAATCAAAATGTAATAGGTAGGCACAGGAGCAGACTTTTACTGAGTGGTATTGTCAGCTGATTGCATTTCGTTTCAGGTAAAGCTCATGTACTAACTCAGCAACCCAAATGGGTAACAAAGGAGGGCTCCTGGTGAAAAAAAGAAACCATATTCCAACTAGGCCCTAAATCCATAGCTATTCTAAAGAACGTGGAATTTAAAATCCCAGCCACACTTAATTCCCAAAACAGATTTCAAAAAAGGACATCACAAAAGGCCACATGCTGCATATGAGCTCTATTGTACTTCGATCCATAATAAGGCTTTTCATTTTAAAAGGAAACTTAATATTCCCTATTAGAGGAAATATATTCCACGTGTCCTTAACAAATAGGTTTTTTTCCACAGCTATCAAACTTTTAGATGAACAGTCTAGCACAGGGGTGGCCCAAGTGTAGCTTGAATGAGGCTCTTGGGATCTGCCAACACAAAATAAAATTGGGCTAATTTTTGCATGGCTTTTCCCAGAACTGTCGAAAAGGGCAACAATTTGCTTCATTAGACACACCAGGCCCATAAATCTCACCAAAATAAGTTTAAAAAATCAGCTGAAAATTGGCATTAAACAGCAGCCACAAGCAACATTATGTCATGCCAAAAAGGCATTTTTGTGTGTGTAAGGGATCTATACTGTGATTGAAATTATGTGCATAATACAGCCATGTCTGCATTGGTATGCAGATAAGCATACCATGAGCAAATCTATAGTATATCTTCAAGAGCAAGATAAAACTATGATACAAGCAAGTCTGTTTCAACTTAAATGTTGACATGGTGAGGAACATGCCTTCCAGTTCCCCAAAATGTTTGTTGTTGCTCGTGGGAAGTAGATTTTGTTTTCAGTAGATGCCAATAAGTTTCCGGTCCCAATTCAAGATGCAGATGACCACCTACAAAGCCCTAAATGGCTCGGGACCTGGCTATCTTCGTGAGTGCATCTTCCCTTACAAACCAGCACATACCCTGAGATCATCCAGGAAGGCTCTGCTCTCTCTTCCGCCCCCACAGTTGGTGGGGGCGAGGGAGAGGGCCTTCTCGGTGGTACCTCCCCCCCCCCCCAGGCTTTGGCACTCCCTCCCTAGGGAAATCAGACAGGCTCCCACTTTGCCACCTTTAGGAGGGAATTTAAAACCTGGATGTTCCATTGCACCTTTGATTAGGCTGTTTCACCAGAGAACTATCCTGTCCCTGTTCTAAGTTTTGCACTTTATTCCGAGCCCTCCTATCGGTTACCTCGACATTTTCGCAAAAAGTATTCCCTAGTCCCTGTTCATTTGATCTCCGCACTTTCCGTCGGCTCCTTTTAGGAATTATTGCACTTATTGAGCCTAAACTCAGCTATAACTTTTTTTCTCAGCCATATTGTTTTTTGATGAAGTTTATGACTGTTTTATATTTTTATTATTTTTACTAGCGGTCCCTGCCACACGTTGCTGTGGCCCAGTCTGGTGATCTGGAAAATAAAGTAATTAGAAAGTGTTGGTTTCTAATATATGTAATTTCTTTATGCTTGTGGGCAAACAGTATTTCTTGTTGTTTCTTTGTCAGTGTTGATGTAGGGATTGTCTGATTTGCCTACTTTGGAACATGCAACATATAATTGTCCTTTTTTAGGGGTCCCTTTCAAATCTATGACAATCTCTGTGTGTGTGAATCATATATATCTATCTATATCTATGGCTGGATGGCTCTTTGTCAAGAGAGCCTTGATTACATTTTCTTGTCCTGGTGAAGAGAGTTGGACTGGATGGCCCTGAATATTTTCTGTTGGTCATGGGGGTTCTGTGTGGGAAGTTTGCCCCAATTCTGTCGATTGTGGGCTTCAGAATGCTCTTTGATTGTAGGTGAACTATAAATCAAAGTAACTACAACTCCGAAATGTCAAGGTCTATTTCCCCCAAACTCTATCTGTGTTCATATTTGGGCAAATGGAGTATTGATGCCAAGTTTGGTCCAGTTCCATCATAGTTTGAGTCCACAGTGTTCTCTGGATGTAGGTGAACTACAACTCCCAAACTCAAGGTCAATGCCCACTAAACCTTTCTAGTTTTCTGTTGGTCATGGAAGTCGTGTGTGCCACGTTTGGTTCAATTCCATCATTGATGGAGTTCAGAATGCTCTTGGATTGTAGGTGAACTATAAATCCCAGAAATTACAACTCCCAAATGACAAAATCAATTTTTTTGAGTGAAGGGTTGTTAGGTGTCTTGTGTCCAAATTTGGTGTCAATTCATCCAGTGGTTTTTGAGTTCTGTTAATCCCACAAATGAACATTACATTTTTATTTATATAGATTTAATTGATTTTACTTGTGACTCTGTTTTATCTGTAATCTTTGGTCTTGTCCCTTTGTAAGCTGCCCTGAGTCTCCTAGGGGAGATGGTGGCAGGGTATAAAATTATTATTGTATGCCCAGTGAAAGCATGGTAGGTACATAGAAAACTGTCTCCTGCTCAGTGAGATTACTACTTTACTAAGACAGGATTGAGTGGCAGCATCTTTCTGGGAGTTCAGACATGAGACATTTCTAGCCATGACTAGAGATGTCTGAGAATGAACCTTCACAAAATGTAAGTGTCCTGCAATCCTTCACCAAAATAAAATTCATTCTCTGCAAGCATGCACAAACAGCCAACCTAAAACCATCCACCCATTTTTTTCTGCAATCATTAAAATTCCACCTTACCTTCAGTACCTGCCTTGACACATGAAAGCAGGTTGAGGTCTCTTGGGTTCTCAATGAGCAAATTGGCTGCCGGTTCTAATCCCAGCTGCCTGGCTCTTTGTGCTTTAGTTCCTTTGCTTCCAGTTTTGTACGGTGCATACTAGAAGAGATAACACAAAGTACATGGAATGAATTGAATGAAGAAAAAATAAATAAGGCTATTCTTCTAAATTTAGCCAGGATCCAAAAGGGGGCACCTACTAATGAAATGAGCAATGTGGGTTTTCAAGAAAAAGAATAGAACTGGAAAATTTTCCCGTGCTCTGAATAATGGTTTCTGATTTAATACATTCTATCCAAACACGTTCCGAACTCATTTCATTGGGATATTTGAAATAATGTATAAGTCACAGGAAATGAAATAACATAAAGAGGATAGTATATACTTCCCTTAGAATTAACAGGAAATGAAATGTGAAGTCCTGTTTATTTTTTAAAAAATATTTTTCTATTTTCTTAACCACTTCACTAAATGAGAATTTGAACTATGACTCCAAAGAGGGGGCTTTGAGCCTGCAGATTCTGGATGCTGTCGAGTTTTTCTAAGTACAAGCTCAGTGCAAAATAGCAAGCAGCTGCGAAATGGACCACAAAGAAAAGGTAGCAATTTCATTCTTATTTTTTCTACCTTTATCCCTTTTCTCATTTTAAACATTAGTTCTAGTTTGAACTGACCTAATAAGATCATTTGGGGCCGGGGAGAGGCAACACTTGGTTCAACTCCATTAATTAATCTCCATATAACATACTAGTGTTCCCAGGTTATAATCTGAAATCTGCCTCTTCTTTTGTTCATGTGGCTCTAGACCTGCGTTTGTCAACCTAGGGGTCGGGATCCCAGGGTGGGGGGGGGGGGTCACGAGGTAATGTCAGAGAGATTGCCGAAGACCATCAGAAAACACAGTATTTTCTGTTGGTCATGGGGGTTCTGTGTGGGAAGTTTGACCCAATTCTATCGTTGCTGGGGTTCAGAATGCTCTTTGATTGTAGGTGAAAATTAAATTCCAACAACTACAACTCCCAAATTTCAAGGTCCATTTTCCCCAAACTCCACCAGTGTTCATATTTGAGCATATTGAATATCTGTGCCAAGTTTGGTCCAGATCCCTTATTGTTTGAGTCCACAGTGCTCTCTGGATGTAGGTGAACTACAACTCCAAAACTCAAGGTCAATGCCCACCAAACCTTTCCAGTATTTTCTGTTGGCCATGGGAGTTCTGTGTGCCAAGTTTGGTTCAATTCCATTGTTCATGGAGTTCAGGATGCTCTTTGATTGTAGGTTAAGTATAAAACCCAGCAACTACAACCCCCAAATGACAAAATCGGGCATTTGTGCCAAATTTGGTCCAGTGAATGAAAATACATCCTACATATCAGATATTTACATTGTGATTCATAACAGTAGCACAATTATGAAGTAGCAAGGAAAATAATGTTATGGTTGGGGGACACCACAACATGAGAAACTGTATTAAGAGGTCATGTCATTAGGAAGGTTGAGAACCACTGCACTAGACTGTATTAAAGTAAATAGACTTATGAAAGAGATGAGGTTCCTCCAGATCTTCATGAAGTATTGTCAGAGACTGGAAAGGCTAGTTTAGAATGAAAACTCACAGAACCCTCCAGCAAGTAGGACCCTCTGGGAGACCTTCTAGACAGGCTCTATATCCCAGGAGCTGATCCCAGATTTCTGTTTATCCCTATCTGGCAGTGCAGACTCATATAATCCAGTTTAAAGTAGAAAACCTGGTATCAGATCCTGGGATATAGCGCATGTCTGGAAGGGCCTTGGGAATTGTTGTTCAAAATGGCAAAGGTCCAAAATTTCACTACTCTTCTACTTTTCCAGAGTTTCACTACCATTGACCAGCCAAAGTTCAAGACTATCCAGAGGATCAAGATTCCCCAGCCCTACACTAGGGTCTAATCATGGATTTGTCTTCTCTGTTCTTGAGAAAGCATTCTTAATACTGTTTCAGAATCCTTTGGAACAAGCAAGGGGGTTTCTAGATGACAAAAAGTCACATAGAAAATACTCTGAATGCTTCCAAGAGCAATAACACTGCATCTGAAAGATTTATACTTTTAACATGAAAAGATATATTTTAGAAAAAATACTGACCACATGATCAAGTTCCTCTGATGTTCTGCAGTTCAGCAAGGCTGTTAAGAGACTTCCAGACAGTTTCCCTTCTTTCTTAAGCTTCTGTATTGATCCATGGACCTTTTTTGCTACAGAGCTGAGAGAAAAGTAAACAGGCACTCAGTCAGTTAAATACAATATGTTCCCAAGTTTAAGACATAAGTATAAACCAAAGGACAAGAATATACCTAAAACTAGATCCCTAGACAAATACTGTTCTTCAAGACATTACAGTTGATCAGTCTTGGGATTCTTGTTAAAAAATTAAGCAAACAGACACTACAAGACTGAAAACTGCATCATCACTGGCCTAAATTCAAATTCTCCTTAAGACATACCATGGTTTGCTGTCCTGTATGAAAATGGTAGTACATGCTTGTTACATCCTGAATAGACTACTGCAACGCACTCTGTGTGGGGTTGCCTTTGGAAGCTTCAAGTAGTCCAACGAGGGGCAGCCAGGTCACTCACCAGAGCGTCGTACAGGGAGTACACAACCCCGCTGCTGTGTCAGCTCCACTGGCTGCCAGTCTGCTACCAAGCACAATTCCGAGTGCTGACTTTGGCCTATAAATCCCTAAATGGTTCTAGTCCAGCTTATCAGTCTGAATGTATTTCCCTTTATAAATCAGTTTGCGCATTAAGATCAGCCAGGGAGGTCCTGCTCTCGGTCCCACCGCCGTTGCAAGCACAACTGATGGAGACGAGTGACAGGGCCTTTTCRGTGGTGGCCCCTCAGCTGTAGAACTCCCTCCCCAGTGAGATTAGMCCCCCCCCCCCACCGATGTTTAGAAAACAACTCAAAACCTGGATATGCAAGCAGGTGTTTGGAAAGTAATAATACTACTGAAGCAGGTAAATGACAATTGCGGGTTTGGTGTAATGTCCAATGTCTAAAATATTTTAAAGTCCATGTTTGATGTGTTAGTTTTAATGGTTTTAATTCATAGTTATATGTTATTGCTTTAGATATTATATGTATTGCGCTCTCTCTGTGTGTGTGTGTGTGTGTGTGTGTGTCTGGTATTGAATTTTTGCCATCTATTATGTTGTACATTACTTTGAGTCCACCCAGAAAAGAAGAAAAATGGTATAGAAATGCAATAAATAAATAAATAACCAACTGCAGAGAGGCAAAATATGAGGGAAGTTTAAGTCTCTTTTATTTATAAAATTTTAACCCCAGTTCCCATCTATACTTCCATATAATGCAGTATCATAATGCAGTTTAATTGTACTGAACTGCATTATATGAGTCTGCACTACCATATAATGTAGTTAAGCTGCATTATGAAAGTGCATTATATGACAGTGTAGTTGGGGCACCAGACTGAAATACGTAGAGATGGAAAACCTTCATTCTTAGAAGTGAAGTTTCTTCATCTAGTAATATTTCTTATAACTGTTTGGGAATCTTGGAAATGATTTCAGTGTATGTGCAAAATGTGATGATAATATTTGCTTTCAACTGGGAATCCTATGATATGGTTCTCTTGGCAAATTTTATTCAGAGGAGTTTCCCAAGACCTTTGAAACTGAGGAAGTGTGATTTGTCCAAGGTTACCCAGTGAGTTTCCTTGGCCAAGCAGATATTCAAACTATGGTCTCTTGGAACCCTAGTCCAACACTCAAAGCACTGCATCATATTGTTACGGAGATTATATTCACGGTCCCATTTTCTCTCCAGCCTCCTCCCCAATCTGCCCCTCATTATAACATACTGCAGTTCTTCCAGCACTTGTTGCACTTCACGCAAGGCATCAGCTTCCAGATTGTTGATAAGCTCTTTCCGGTATCTGGCAATGAAGGGGATAGTATTGTCATCATTAAAAAGGCGGATGATGTTCGCACACACCCACTCTTCTATGCCAGTCCTCTGTGACAAAACCTGGAACGAAAACAATGACAACAATAAAACCCCTAGATATTAAAAAGGCTTTCTCTCAAAGGAGGAGACTGAAAACCATGCACCTGAAATGATCTAGAAATATATGGAAGGAAGTAACAGTGATAGATAGTGGTTCCAGTATGTGTGGGCTGATGTTTCTGCTCTCTGGTTTAGTCCAAACTTTACAAAAGCTGTCTAAGATGCCGAAACTACTTTGAGGATAACATTCAACACTTTGAATGGCTCCTTTGGAGTATGGGTCAGAAGCAGAATCATTGCCTCACTGAAATGGAAGACAATACAGGAGTGGGAAACAAGACAGATGTAAACAATAGCAACAGCTCTTTCTTCTGCCCGAGGATAGAGAGATTAGGCCACAAGAATCAGACAGTCCATCCTCAAAGATTCTCCTGTATCAAAGAGAGCTAAATTAGAGTCCACCCACGTCCACTGAATTTCAACAAGAGATGGACCCTGCCCCCAAAAAGGGAAATAGTGCAGAATGATTGGGCAATAATGTTTTTAAAAGCAATAGTTTGAAACAATTAAACAAATATAACATGCAGTCCTCAATATTCATAGCTTTCATACCGGCAGATTCAACCATCCATGACTTTTTAAAAAATTCCAATAGTAGAGGTAAAGATTCCCCCTGACATTAAGTCTAGACGTGTCCAATTTTGGAGGGTGGTGCTCATCTTCATTTCTAAGCCGAAAAGCCGACGTTGTCCATAGACACCTCCAAGGTCATGTGGCTAGCATGACTGCATGGAGCGTCGTTACCTTCCTGCCAGAGCGATACCTATTGATCTACTCACATTTGCATGTTTTCGAACTGCTAGGTTGGCAGAAGCTGGGCCTAAGAGCAGGAGCTCACCCCGCTCAAGCCTCCAACCTTTCAGTCAGCAAGTTCAACAGTTCAGCGGTTTAACCTGCTGCACCACCAGGAAGCTTTGGTGGCACAGGGCAATTAAAATGGCAAACCTTAATTTTGCCATTTTATGTAAGGGATACCATTTTACTACACCACTGTATATAATGGGACTCAAGCAACTACTGATTTTGGTATCCACACAGGGAGAGATTCTGGAACCAAACTCTAGCTGTTACAGACAATTTTAGCAAAACACAATTTGAGATTTTCAACAAAGCTCTAATTAAGAAATAAGAAACTCAAGAGGTTTCTTTTCTGAATAATTTTAAAACTTTACGCCAAACAAATGCTACAAAATTGATCCCCACTTATACTATCTGCCTACCTGTAGCATTTCCTAATCTTGGAAGTTTACTCCAACTTTGCTAAGCCAAAACAAGAGTGAGAAGTAGAAAAAGTACTAAGAAATATTACTCTCATGCCTTCCTTTCTGCTTACTGATGTCAAAATTAGCTGCTTTTGATATTTTCTTGTGAAACCGAATACTAATCCTAACCTTCCTGCACTGCAACTTATGCTTGAGAGACATTCTCATTAAAAACCAGAGGAAAGTATGCAATTTATTTTATAAAAATAAAAAGACCATTTGGTTTCTGGAATACATCCAGAACTGCTATTATATGCAATAGAAACCAAGTTTATATGCCGGTCCAGACCACATAAGCTCTTGATGTAACACAGTTACTTTCAAGCTTTGTTATGAAAGGGGGCACAAGGAGATCTCATACCTTCACAATGTCCCAATTCATTTTATGCTCGTCATTCAAATTGGCACTTGCTGCAAATTTTATAGCATTCCCTTGAGGACATGATGCTGATTTAATTTTTTTCAAAGGCGGTTCATCAAAGGTAAAATCTTCTTCTGGTGCTTCCAACTTCACTTGCTGTTTAGCCGCTGCTGTACTTGTGGAGGGTCCTTCCACACCATCCAAGTTGCAGGCAGGAGGTCCTGGTGGGACACTGCTTCTTTTCACTGGGAGCTTTTTGGAAGGAGGACTCGGCTTCTTTTCTTTCTCTTCCTTAGGCTGCTGTAACTGCAACTCTCCTTCTTTCATCTCAGGAGCCATAATAGGCAAAGAAGTATCCTGTCCATTTCATAAAAACATATTATTCCACGTGAATGCAAAGAAAACAGAAAATGGTTTAACATAAACTCTACATCAGTGGTTCGCAACCTCCCTTAATACAGTTCCTCATGTTGTGGTGGCCCATCAATCATAAAATTATTTTTATTGCTACTTCATAACTGTAATTTTGCTACTGTTATGAATCGTAATGCAAATATCTGATACACATTTTTATTCACTGGACAAAATTTGGCACAAATACAAGATACATCCAAATTTGAATATTTGTGGGTTGGGGGGGTTGATTTTGTATTTGGGAGTTGTAATTGCTGGGATTTATAGTTCACCTACAATCAAAGAGTGTTCTGAACCTCACCAATGATGGAATTAAATCAAACTTGACACACAGAACAGAAAATACTGGAAGGGTTTGGTGGGCATTGACCTTGAGTTTTGGAGTTTTAGTTCACCTGCATCCCGAGATAACTGGGGACTCAAACAATGATAGATCTCAACCAAACTTGGCACAAATACTCAATATGTTCAAATGTGAATGCTAGTGGAGTTCAGGGAAAATAGACCTTGACATTTGGGAGTTGTAATTTCTGGGATTAATAGTTCATCTAAAATCAAAGAGCATTCTGAACCCCACCAACAATAGAATTGGGCCAACCTTGGCACACAAAACCTTCATGACTAACAGAAAATACTGTATTTTCTGATGATGTTTGGCGGCCCCTCTGTCACTCCCTCGTGACCTCCTCAGGGGTCCTGACCCACAGGTTGAGAAATGCTGCTCTACATAAAGCACAGAGATTTCTAAATGCCCTGATGTGCGCATCTAATGTTCCCATGTATATGAGAAACTCCACATTTGGTGGAATTTCCCAATTTTCCTTTCTAAATTATGCACTTACAAGGCTATGGAGCAAGTAGGACTGATTCTTCTTGTTCAAAGTTCTGTATGGAGCTATACAGCTGGTCTCCAAAATTTAGGGGCAAAACTTTTGTGGATACGATGATGTGAAGATTTAATATTTCTCTGCAAGAATCTCTAGATCCTCCAGTGAGACTGTATGGTTGCACTGTTCTCTCAGGTAAAAAATAGTGTGTTTTTATTCACTTTTGTGGGGGTCCTGCAAACCTAAACCTGGCAAATGTGGAAGGTCTACTGTACTAAGTAGTCCCCTACATTGGGAAATTTGATTAGGGAAATAGGATGGGAGGAAATGGTGAAAGGGACCTTGTGTAATCAGAACGTAAGAATGACTATGATGCATCAGATGAAAGGTCTATTTTAGGCATCCTCAAACTGTGGCCCTCCAGCTGTTTGGGCCTTCAGCTCCCAGAATTCCTGACAATTGAACTAGCTCATTAGGGCTTCTGGGAGTTGGAAGCCCAAACAGCTGGAGGGCTGCGGTTTGAGGATGCCAAATCTATTTGGTGCAGCATTTATAGAGAGAATACTTCTCCAGGCATTGTATGTTTTTATATCCTCTGATACTGAATACACATGCCAAGTGTGGAACACATCTCACCACATGGATGTGGCTCTTAATGAGACATGCTGCATTATCATATGATGTCTACGCCCCACACCAATGAAGAATGTATACTGTTTAGCCGGAACTACACCACCTAACATCCGTCGGGAAGTAGCAGTCAACAATGAAAGGACCAAGTAGTGACATCTCCCGCCCATCCTCTGTTCGGAGATCAGCCAGCACACCAATGTATTAAATCAAAAAACAGCTTCCTAAGATCTACAGAGATACTCGCAGGAACCTCAGCAAGCCAGAGTCCAAAACTGGCAGGCTAAAACCCGGAGCCTCAATCCATGACTGATACTGGATAAGAGACTTCCTCCTGGGCACACAGAAGGCTGGGTGACTTGGAATAATAATAATAACTGGGTGACTTGGAATAATAACCATAATAATTCTTTATTGATATCCCACTTTTCTCCCTTATGGGATCCAAAGTGGCTTACAAAATACTATAATCATGTAAACAATCTAAATACATTGATGAGAAATAAATAAATAAACAGTTTACAACAACAAGAATATACATTCACATTCTTGTGGAAGATGCTGAACAGACTGTGCTCTGGAACCACGAGGGCTACAAAGTGGAGTCCACGACATGCAAGCGTCGAGAAGAGCAAACCACAGTCAACCTATTACAATGCAGCCTGAGACCTGCCACGTGCACAATGGGGGACCTTCCTACAGTCACAACAGAGGCACTCCAAGTAGCCAGCTTCTGGTCAAACAACATTTAGTATAATGCCAAGTTTTTAACTTTGTTTGTGTTTTTAAATACATAACTGTATCTTCAATTTGCTTCTGACATGACAGATAAATAAATAAACATCCTCAATGCTCTCAAAGTAGTATTGCTACCTTCCTTCACTCACCGGCTCTTCTTTCATGGCTACTTTCTTAGTCCTCTTCCTAGCCACGGTTGGTTTCTTCTGGGTTGTGGCATTTTTTTTCACCCTGGGCACCTTTGGTTTGGGCACCTTTGGTTTGGGCACTTTTGCCTTTTTCGCAGCTTTCTTTTGAGGCTGCCATTCATCTTCTTCCTTTTCTTCTGATTCTGAAGATCTGAATAGACAAAGAGCACACTTCAGAAAGGGTGAAGATTCCCCAGAGAACTCCAGAAGGGGGAAAACTTCAAGCCTAGCATGGGATCTGCAAAAAAGAGGTGGGGTGCCAATTTTATGTAACTTGGGCTTTGCAGTTATGGGATCTCACTTTACATGGTAATACCAATTGACCTCAGCTTGGTTTATCAGGACACAAGTCATACAAATCTTCTCCAAAGGATCAAAGTCAGTGTATAACCTCCTTAAAGACAAGCAGCAAAGCCTCCTATAAGACTCATCATAAGTAGCAATAGCACAGTCATACATTTTGAAGTGTTGGGCCTCATCATGACAGTCCCCATAACGCATGCCCACAAAATGTGTAAACACAGGCAAATGTGAGGATCTGTGTCAGTCAATCAATTCCACCGGTTTGTATGACCAGGAGCAGAGTTTCTGTAAAGCTAATATGCTTTAATTATTGATATAAATCTCAAGCCAAATATTCAAATATGTTTGCATTAATTGTAAATTTCCTTGAGTCCCACTTTTAAGAAGAGATAAGCAGATTATAAACTCAATTTAAAATGCAATTGAAACAGTATGCAGAGGGTAACAGCACCAGTCCCTATATTTCTCTACCTCTTGTCACAGGTTTTATACGTGTGCATCAATATTTATTACACTAACTCTTTATTTATTTATTTATTTGTCATGTCAGGGGTGACTTGAGAAACTACAAGTCGCTTCTGGTGTGAGAGAATTGGCCATCTGCAAGAACATTGCCCAGGGGATGCCCAGATGTCTGATGTTTTACCATCCTTGTGAGAGGCTTCTCTCATGTCCCCGCATGGGGAGCTGGAGCTGACAGAGGGAGCTCTACCCACTCTCCCCAGATTCAAACCGTTGACCTATCAGTCAGCAGTCCTGCCAGCGCAACCTATTGCACCACCTACTAACTCTTTATGAAGAAGGAGGATATGCAACTTATTTGTTGATACACTCCTATGGATCCAAACACCTCAGCAACTCCATTTGTTGCTGGCCTAGTATTGGATAGAGAGACTCTACTCAAATTGATATGCACTATAAATAAATTTCAGCTCACGATATAAGGAAAGAAGGTAGTTCATCTTCTGCAGTGCTCGGCTTTGGTGCTGTTCGAGCTCTTCTTGGTAGAGATGTCATCTGAGAGAAGAAAAACATAAAATACCAATGGACTTTTTTGCATGTTAAAAGGATAAGCATAACCTATTATCAGTCACTCCAGCAATGTATTTCTATTTTATTAATCATTAATATTTTTACACTCCCTTTTTGTCCAAACAGCCACAATGAGTAAAAAAAACAAACATTTTAATTAAAAGCATTGAGACCCAAAAGTAACAATAAAAACGACCTAGGTAAACCTTCCTAACAACCTCTTCCTGAGTATTTCCTTGATACAGTAAAATCTTGGTGAGCAAGGAGAGGGGATCGATTCCCCAAAACAAACAATAAAATATTTTGGACAATCTTGAGCATTACTCTCATTACAAGTTGAGTATATCTTATCCAAAACTCTGGAACCAGAAGTGTTTTGGATTTTCCTTGATTTGTGTTCGGGCAATGCGGCGTTTGGTGGTCCCTATGTAGACTGCATGGTATACAGCTGCATGGTATACAGTAGACTCCTGCAGAGGTGGACCATATGCTATGCAGCCGTGGACAAGTTTACATAGGGACCTCCAAACACACCACTGCCCAAACACAAATCAATGAATATGATAGGCATTGAATTAATCATGCAGATTAATTCCACCAGAGAAGTCAGCCATAGTAGAGCACCTGATGAACTAACCTGGACACAGCATATTATTTGAGAACACAGACAAGCTGGACCACTCTCACAACCACCATGTCAGACTACACAGAGAAGCCACTGAAATCCACAAGCATGCGGACAATTTCAACAGAAAGGAAAAACCATGAAAATGAATAAAATCTGGCTACCAGTATTTTTTAAAAACCCTCTAAAATCAGGACAGTAAATAAAAAAAACAACACTCAGAAAACAGGGGACTTCAAAACAGGAAAAAATCAGGGCCAGCCAACACCTACAACAAAGGATCCCCCAGGCAGAAAACAGCCAGGCTTTGAAACTGGAAGGCTATTCAGTGCTAATCAAGCTGGTCAATTGCAACATTCAACACTTGCCTCAAACAGACGCCCTGGCAATTCCACATATATATAAACCTCACTTGCTAGTTTCCAACAGACCTCCCAACCTCTGAGGATGCCTGCCATAGATGTGGGCGAAACATCAGGAGAGAATGCTTCTGGAACATGGCCATACAGCCCTGAAAATTCACAGCAACCCTGTGATTCCAGCCATGAAAGCCTTTGACAACAAAATATTGTTTACGTTTTTTTAAAAAAACTATAACTTCCAAAACTCCATAGGACTGAGCACTCTGGGACAAAGACTTCCACTGCTGAACAGCTCTCACAGTTAGGGAGTTCTTCCTAATGTCCAGGTGGAATCTCTTTTCCTGTAGTTTGAAGCCATTGTTTCGCTTCCAGAAGGGCGACCGAAATGATCAAAGCTTCAGAAGCTAAGTCCTATGAACAATGGCTCAGGTCTTGGTCTATTTAGCTTGGAGAAAAGGAAGGGCTGAGAGGGGACATGGCAACCATGTTTCAATATCTGAAAGGATGTCACATCTAGGGGGAAGCAAGCTTACCTTTTGCATATTGCGTATTTGTGCCAAGTTTGGTCCAGATATAACACTGTTTGAGTCCATGCGTGGCTCGAGAGCAGTACGTGAGCCAACAATGTGATGCGTTGGCAAAAAAAGCCAATGGCATTTTGGCCTGCATCAATAGGAGTCTAGTGTCTAGATCCAGGAAAGTCATGCTACTCCTCTACTCTGCCTTGAATAGACCACACCTGGAATATTGTGTCCAATTCTGGGCACCACAATTGAAGAGAAAGATTGACAAGCTGGAATGTGTCCAGAGGAGGGTGACTAAAATGATCAAGGGTCTGGAGAACAAGCCCTATGAGGAGCGGCTTAAAGAGCTGGGCATGTTTAGCCTGAAAAAGAGAAGGCTGAGAGGAAGCATGATGAGGGACATGTATAAATATGTGAGAGAAGTCATAGGGAGGAGGGAGCAAGCTTGTTTTCTGCTGCCCTGGAGTCTAGGACACGAAACAATGGCTTGAAACTACAAGAAAGGAGATTCCACCTGAACATGAGGAAGAATTTCCTGACTGTGAGAGCCGTTCAGCAGTGGAACTCTCTGTGGTAGAGGGTCCTTCTTTGGAGGCTTTTAAACAGAGGCTGGATGGCCATCAGTCGGGGGTGCTTTGAATGCAATTTTCCTGCTTCTTGGCAGGGGGTTGGACTGGATGGTCCATGAGGTCTCTTCCAACTTTATGATTCTAGGACTCCTGATGGTAAGAGCTGTTCAAGGATGGGATATGCTGTCTTGGAGTCTGGTGGGGTCTCCTTCTCTGGAGATTTTTAAACAGAGGCTGGATGCTCACCTGCCAGGAGGACTTTGAGGGGGTTTCCCTGCCTGGCAGATGGGAATGGGACTGGAGATGGGGCGTCGCTCTGTACTCACCTTCCTGCAGTTCTGGCGACGAAGGGAGGAGAGGGTGTCTGCCTTCAGAAGGTGGGACTCTCATGCCTCCTCCTCCTCCTTCTGCACGGTTTGGATTTTGAAAGCGGCGCCAGGACCCGAGAAGGAAGCCCAGCAGTAAAGCTGTAAAGTGCAGAAGGAGGGGAAGGAGGGGAAAGAGGAGGGGAAAAGAGGAGGAACAGGAAGGGGAAGGCTCTCAACGAGGAGAGCAAAACCCGGAACAGAGAGAGGCCCGACTCCAGTCGGCTCTCATTGGTTCTTGCAGTGAGCTTGCAGAAAGCATTGCATTTGCCCATCGCCAAAGCCCACAGAGAGGCAACGCGGTTGCATCTAAAATGCGAAAGAAATCATTGCAGGGGGAAAGTAAATACGGGCTGACTGCAACTCCCAGCATCCCTAGGCCCTGGTGGGTGCTGGGATGTGTAGTCCAGGTCTCTTCCCATCGCACCATGAGCTAAAATGCAAAACAAGGTATTGCATAGGGAAGGTAGACAGGTGGACTGCAACTCCCATCATTTCCAAAAGATGGGGGAGGCTGGGAGTTGTCCAAGTTTCTTCGCACCATTCCAATTTTGCTGCCTAAACTATAATGCAAAAAACAAACAAACCTGTGTATATAAACCCCGCTTGCCATGTTTCCAACAGGCCTCACAACCTCTGAGGATGCTTGCCATAGATGCAGATGAAACGTCAGGAGAGAATGCCTCTAGAACATGGCCATAAAAAACCTGCAACAACCCAAACCTGTATTGAAGGCTTCCATGGCTGGAATCACTGGGTTGTTGTAGGTTTCTTGGGCTGTATGGCCATGTTCCAGAAGCATTCTCTCCTGACGTTTCACCTGCATCTATGGCAGGCATCCTCAGAGGTTGTGAGGTCTGTTGGAAACAAGGCAAGTGGGGTTTATATATCTGTGGAAAGTCCAGGGTGGGAGAAAGAACTCTTGTCTGTTGGAGCTAGGTGTGAATGTTGCCATTGGCCACCTTGATTAGTATTTGATAGTCTTGCAGCTTGAAAATCTGGCTGGTTGCTGCCTTGGGGAATCCTTTGTTGGGTTGTTGAGACCTCACAACCTCTGAGCATGCCTGCCATATATGCAGGCGAAAAGTCAGAAGAGAATGCTTCTAGAACATGGCCATATAGCCCGAAAAACCTACAACAAACAAACCTGTTTTTAGGGAAAGTAAACACTGCTGGACTCTTAAGTCCCGGCATCCCCAGGAGTTGAAGGACGTTGGGAATTGTAGTCCAAACATTTCCTTACCTCAGTGTCCTTGCATGTGCAAAGGTGAGGGAAAAACATTGAATGCGAAAGTAAAGTTGGATTAGGACTCCCAGCACACCATTCATCTCTCAACATTCTCTGTACAAAGCAGAAAGTCCAGTCTATAGTCATAGAATCCTAGAGTTGGAAGAGACCCCGTGGGCCATCCAGTTTAACCCTCTGCCAAGAAGCAGTAGTCCATGATTTGGTTACATCTACTGCAACATGCTCCACGTGAGGTTGCCTTTGAAGACTGTTTGGAAGCTTCAGATGGTCCAGCGAGTGGCAGCCAGGTCGCTAATTGGAGCAGTGCTCCTCTGTTGCGCCAACTCCACTGGCTGCCAGTTTGCTAACGGGCACAATTCAAAGCGCTGGCTTAAGCCTATAAATCCCTAAATAGTTCTGGTCCAGTTTACCTGTCCAAACATATCTCTCCCTATGAACCAGCTAGGAATTTAAGATCATCTGGGAAGGCCCTGCTCTCGATCCTGCCTTCTTCACAAGCGCGGCTGGTGGGGACGAGAGACAGGGCCTTCTCAGTGGTGGCCCCTCCCTCCCTAGGGATATTAGATTGGCCCCTTCCCTCCTGACCTTCCAAAAAAAGTAAAAACCTGGCTCTTGGAACAAGCCTTTGGAAATGCCGTGCAATAGACAAATGTGGAATTATGTAAGTTTAAAACATGTAACAGCTTAGACAATGCTACTTGAAAGTGAGATTAACAGGAAGACATCGGTTATTATATGTTTTTAATGTGTTTTGTATTGATTTTATGATTGTTTTATAATGCTCTTTAAAATGTTTTAACTATATTTTGGGTTGTTATGGCATTGAATCGCTGGCAATTTCTAAGCCGTCTTGAGTCGCCTTTGAACTTGAGAAAGGTGGGATAGAAATATTATAAATAAAAAAACTAATAATAAAATGGCATTTAAAGCACCCTGGACAGATGGTCATCCAGCCTCTGCTTAAAAGCCTCCAAAGAAGGCTTTTAGTCCACCCCACCCCGGAGCAGAGAGTTCCACTGCTTAACAGCTCCACAGTCAGGAAGTTCTTCCTCATGTTCAGGTGGAATCTCCTTTCTTGTAGTTTCAAGCCATTGTTTTGTGTCCTAGACTCCAGGGCAGCAGAAACAAGCCTGTTCCCTCCTCCCTGTGACTTCCTCTCACATATTTATACATGGCTATCATGTCTCCTCTCAGCCTTCTCTTCTGCAGGCTAAACATGCCCAGCTCTTTAAGCCACTCTGCATAGGGCTTGTTCTCCAGATCCTTGATCATTTTAGTCACCCTCCTCTGGACACATTCCAGCTTGTCAACATCTCCCTTCAATTGTGGTACCCAGAATTGGACAGATTGTGATTCCAGTGTGGCCTGACCAAAGCAGAAGAGAGGGGTGGCATGACTTCCCTGGATCTAGACACTATACTCTTGTTTATGCAGGCCAAAGTCCCATTGGCTTTTTTAGCTGCTGCATGACAGTGTTGGCTCATGTTTAACTTCTTGTTCACGAGGACTCATAAGATCTTTTTCACGCAGAGTGCTGTTGAGCCAGGAGTCCTCCAATCTGTATCTTTGCATTTCATTTTTTCTGTCTAAGTGGAGTATCTTGCATTTCTCCCTGTTGAACTTCATTTTGTTAGTTTTGGCCAATCAACCCTTTTCTGTTAAGATCATTTAGAATTCTGTTCCTGTCCTCTGGAGTATTGGCTATCCTTCCCAATTTGGTGTCATCTGCAAACTTGATGGTCATGCTTTCTAACCCTTCATCTAAGTCATCAATAAAGATATTAAACAGGACCAGGCCCATGTTTACAGGTTTAAAGGAAGAGTTGAAAAGAAGTGTTGAAAATGCAAGGCATCTTGCATCTTATGTACGCTTTTCCTCGTGGGGATGTTTAGGCATGTTTTTCTTCTTGTATTGAAAAGGGAAGTACTACCCAGAAACATGTTTTCAGATTTACTTCTGTTGCATTGTATTTGGCACATCTGGTGTTTAGCCACTAGGTGTTGCTCTCTGCTGAGAAGCACTTTTTTCCCATTTAACTGCAGGAACAGCTCCAAAACCCGCCCTTCTCCATTTAAATATTATAAAAGCGCCAGATTGCACCAAGTCTTGGAAGCTAAGTAGGAACAGCCCTGGCAAGTACTTGGATGGGAGTCTGCCAACAAATACCAAGTTCTGTAGGGTATGTGTTGTCGAAGGATTTCATGACCAGAATCACTGGGTTGCTGTGTGTTTTTCACACTGTATGGCCATGTTCCAGAACCATTCTCTCCTGGCGTTTCGTCCACACCTATGGCAGGCATCCTTGGAGGTTTAAGGGTCTGTTGGAAACTGAGTCAGTGGGGTTTATATATCTATGGAATGTCCAAGATGGGAGAAAGAACTCTTGTCTGTTTGAGGCAAGTGTGAATGTTGTAATTGACCTGCTTGATTAGCACTGAATAGTCTTGCAGCTTCAAATAGTCTGGCTGCTTCCTGCCTGGGAGTCCTTTGTTGCGAGATGTTGCGTGGCCCTGATTGTTTCCTGTCATGAATTCCCCTGTTTTTTTAGTGTTGTTCTTTATTTACTATCCTGACTTTAGAGTTTTTTAATACTAGTGGCCAGATTTTGTTCATTTTCATCATTTCCTCCTTTCTGTTGAAATTGTCTACATGTTCGTGGATTTCAGTGGCTTCTCTGTGTAGTCTTACATGATAGTTGTTAGAGTGGTCCAGCATTTCTGTGTTCTCAAATAATATGCTATGTCCAGGTTGGTTCATCAAGGGCTCTGCTGCGGCGGACTTCTCAGGCTGAATTAGTGCCTTTCGTGTTCTTTGATTCGTGTTGAGTGCTACGTTTGTTGGTCCCTATGTAGACTTGTCCACAGCTGCATGGTATAATCACCTCCTCCTAACAAAGGATTCCTCCAGGCAGGAAGCAGTCAAGCTTTGAAGCTGCAAGGCTATTCAATGCCAATCAAGGTGGCTAACTGCAACATTCACACTTGCCTCAAGCAGACAAGAGTTCTTTCTTCCACCCTGGACATTCCACAGATAAATAAACCCAACTTGCGTAGTTTCCAACAGACCTCACAACCTCTGAGGATGACTGCCATATATGTGGGTGAAACGTCAGGAGATAATACTTCTGGAATATAGCCATACGGTGCGGAACACTCACAGCAACCCAGTGATTTCGACCATGAAAGCCTTCAACAACACACTATAATTCTTACTGGCATCAATAAATTATGAAATAACACCACGTTATATGAAATAGAAGCTGCAGCTCCACTAGAACTTAGAGAGTGTGGATGCCTTTTGTCTTACCTTTTGTATGAATCATCTCTAGAATGCTGTCTGATCACACCCAAAATCCCTTTCTTTAATTTCTATGATTTTCCCACAATAAACTGGGAGATGTGAGGGGAGCATATAAGATATGTGCATCAGGGTTTCTGGGCTTGTTTCCTGATTTCCTTGATATTATCTGAGATATCGGTGGGAATGGCCCATACCTCAAGCCAGTCTCACCTATTTCTATGGTCATCATCCACAAGCACCCATTGTGTACTTTGGACTAACTCTGTTGTTTCCATTGAAGCCATCTCATTAAGCTGTCTCAGTGAGCCCCCGGTGGTGCAGTGGGTTAAACCCCTGTGCCGGCAGGACTGAAGACCGATAGGTCGCAAGTTCGAATCCGGGGAGAGGCAGATGAGCTCTCTCTAGCAGCTCTAGCTCCTCATGTAGGGACATGAGAGAAGCCTCCCACAAGGATGGTAAAAGATCAAAACATCCTGGCATCCCCTGGGCAATGTTCTTGCAGACGGCCAATTCTCTCACACCAGAAGCGACTTGCAGTTTCTCAGATCGCTCCTGACACGACAAAAAAATTAAGCTGATTACCTAATGCTACCTCATTCCTTTTAGATTGTGC